TTTCATTTTACTTCAACCTTGTTTTGTATGTCATCTCCTAATTCACTGTTGTATATATTTATATAAATGTATAACTAGATGGTGTTTCATCTGGTACTTTTCGTTAATTTAGTATTCACTTATATTTATGAGTTGCAATGAATTATGCAATCCAGTTTTAGGTTTATTTCAACACTGTATCCAGTTGTTTATTTTGTGTATGATATTATTTGATTCTATATTCAGAATTTTGTATCCAATTTTATTTGTTATTGTAACTCCATTTAATTTTTATTCCCCTTGTTCTTATTTTTACTGGCTGTTCAAGCATATATATATTTTAATAAAGCTAACGATTATTTTCATATAAGCGTCGTGGTGTTATACACGTAGTCTAGGGAGGTGATTACACGAGGTTACTTGTTAGATAACTTGTGATTCGGCCTTCTAAATCTTTAATATAAAGTTTAGACCTAGAAACTCCATTAGGTAAGGAAATGGTGGGTGTGGTATCAGAAAAATTGTGTTATTTTAGCCTTTAATAATTAAAAATTACATATTTTTATTTATGTATATTCAGGTAGTTTTTAAAACTTCTCATGCAATTGTTCTGCATGTACTTTAGGACATTCTAGAAAATATAATGTGGAAAGCTTGTAAATTTGCATAATTTCCTCTACCTAATAAAAGGTTAAATGCCACAACAATTCTTCAATAAAGCTTATACTTGTTTGGCCCTGTTTCTGTATCATGACCTCCTGGAGTGAAGTTTTACTCATTCTAAAAGAGTTGTACATAGACTCATATAAAGTACAAGTTGGGGTTACTTCCTCTGATTATATAATGGAAGTTATAACTGTCATAGATAGTCTGGAATAGTGCGATGCCTCAATAGTACTTTTATCTAACGTGAAGGTGTGGTATCATTATGGTTCTTGCTCCTGTCTTCCTCTTATGTATTCGTACTTCCAGCAGCCACCAACATTTATTAATGAACAATGAGATTGCCAGTTTGGTAAATATTTCTATATTCATTTAATACAGAAGAAAAATCGTTTATTTGTACACTTACGCTTGCTTGATTTTTCTGTCTGGGCTCATTTTATTCTCTGCCGAACCTTCAGTGTACCTGAATATCACATAATATCTCTTCTCCTCAGCCAATCTCAAAACTACAGTTCACAACTGATGGTGATATAAGCAAATGTTTTTCATCTTGCAAAGTATAAAGAAATCCCAAGAGTTAAATATAACTGAGAAGCTAAACTAATCATGGTCAAACACTCTTATGTTTTTAAAAAGTACAAAGGTGTGTGTGTGTATAAATAACATTTCATCATCCTGTCACACAGGTTGAAAAGAGGAAGCAGGTCCGACGCCAGGTTACCTGTGGCCCCGTTGTAGAGACTTATATTGGGGGCCCCTTATATCTTAGTAAATAACAAATGGCTTGAATATAAATAATTGAAACCCTGAAACATTTAACAAAAATAATGCCTCTATAGGTTTGAGCTTGAAATAGTACTTTCCTAGCAGTTAACGGAAACTGGTGTTAAGCAGGACCCTTTACCAACGTGCGAATGTAAGGGAAGTTACCAGCTTTTACTTTAACTTAAGCCCACATCGAAATCTTACGCTTGATAATTAACGAAATAAGAAGTAAAATGTCTTCAAAAAACCGAATCTTGTGCTCAAACTGAAAAAGAAAAACGGTAAAAATATTCTTAAATAATTCGAGTTTTTCTAACTTTTATACTTTCGAGGGAAATCTTCCGATTCTCTCCATCCCCCTGTGGTTCAGCGGCAAACGTGAGAGCTTATTACGAATGAATCCCCTCCTTCATCACTATCTTTATATAACTGTCAAATATAAAACACAACAGAGCTAAGTAAAAAAAAAGTAAAACCAAAAAACTCAACTTCCCTAAGTTATACTGTTGAAAATCTGAAATTATTTCAGCATCTAATGCCATTTCATTAAAAGGGTTTGCCAAAACACTGGAAGTAAATGAAAAGAAACTTTTACACCAAAAATTTTCATAAAATCAGTTGATGACTCCAACGTTTAAAAATGTACAGTGGTTTATTATAAGTTAAGAACATATATACAATTAAAAACTCTACACGTTTCGGTGGAAAATGTTACACTATCTTCTAGAAACAAGAAAAGCACAGAACATTTCATTTATATACAAGTAAATTTATGTGTACAATTTGCATATTGTACAGTGGCGCCATTTACAAAATTAATTTCCAGAAATTCACTTCCGTTACATTTTATATTTGTGCACTAATCTCGTGAATTACCGTGTAGCATTTTTCAGTAACAATAGTGAAGAAACAGGTCCAGACTGAACCTGACCCTCCCAGGTCGTGCACTTTGACCTAAATACCGATTCAGACATGCTACGTCCGTGAAACCAGTACCTAAATCTCTATTCAAAATCATTTTCTTTTTAGCAATTTCTAAGTAAACGGTGCCACTGTAAAATATGCCGTGTATTTATATGTATGTAAAGTAATTTCCTGCATTTTTCTTGTCTGCTGAAGATGGTGTAAACATTTCCCATCGGAACATGTAGATTTTTTAATTCTATATTTGCTCTTAACTTCTTACAATAAACTAGTGTGCATTTTTAAACGATGGAGTCGTCCAACTGATTTTATTCAATCCGTGCATAAGAAATGAACAAAATCTTTCTTAAATAGAGTGTATAAAACACATTTCTTTAGGGTAAAAGTGAGTGTTTTCGCATGAGACTTGCTTATTTTTACAGAAGTGTGGATGAAACTACCATAAAAAAACACGCTAAATAACATTGACTATATGTACAGAATAAATACAAAATGAAAAATTGATAAATGAATCAACATATAAATAAAAAATAATAATT